TGTGCCCGCCCTCAGGACTCTCAGCGGAGGCGCAGGGACGCCCATCTGCTGCCCAGAGGCATGAACGCTGGCCCCTCCCCGGGGATGCTGGGAGCCCCGTGGGCTCCCCCGGACAGGGCTACTCGCAGGAAAACCTCCGAATTATAACCAGCAGCTCTGCAGAGGCGGCTCCAGGCTGTAGCGCCGCCAGTGGCCGGGGCAGCCAGATGCTGGCAGCAGGGAAGAGGTGCCCGTCCCCAGCAAGATTCCAGGGCTCCGGCGCTCTGGGCCCCCGATGAAGGCATCATGTCAGACTTCAGAAAACAGGGCCCAGCAAGGGGCCTCGTGCCTGGTCCCTTTGGAGCAGAAACTCCTCTTGGCAAATGGCTCAGCTCTGGCTGCCGGCAGCGGTCTCCCTGGGCGGTGTGCAGCCACGCAAAGTGCCATATGTTCACACCATTTGGTGAAAAACACGGGACCCACAATACCAGGCGCTTATGGGTAAATTTAAAAAAAAATCATGCCAAATCTATGTATCCTGAGACTAAAACATACCATGCCATCCCGCCCCACGGGAACAGAGAACCTCTCGCGAGTGTAGCGTTTCTGAAGCCAGGAGCCAAACCCCAACGGCTGGTGTCTCCCCTGAATGTCCCTTGTCCCTCCTTGGGTGCCATCCTTCAAGCCACAGTGGGTAAGTGGAGAGTGACCCAGGAAAGTAAGGAAAACCTGAAGTCGGAAAGCGGTGCAGGGTGGCCAGGTGCTAGGTAGGCGACTCTGAGGGCCCAAGTGAGCCCAGCTCCCAGGGGACCCAAGCAGCAGGACTGAAGGCCGGGCCACCACGTGCTGGACAGGCCTGTTCCCTGCGTGCCTGCTGGTTTCAACTTTAAAAGTTAGGGGGCTGGTGCTGTGGCACAGCAGGTTAAAGCCCTGACCTACAGCACTGGCATCCCATAGAGGTGCCAGTTCGAGTCCCGGCTGCTCCACTTCTGACCCAGCTCTCTGCTATGGCCTAGGAAAGCAGTAGAAGATGGCCCAAGTCCTTAGGCCCCTGCACAGACGTTGAAGACCTGGAAAAAGCTCCTGGTTCCTGCCTTTGGGTTGGCACAGCTCCGAGTGTTATGGCCACCTGGGGAGTGAACCAACAGATGGAAGACCTCTTTCTGCCTCTGCCTTTCAAATAAATAAATAAATCTTAAAAAAAAAAAAAAAAACTTCAGAAGTTAGCAATGGGGCCAGTGTTGTGGCACAGAAGGTTTAGCTACTGCCTGTGGCACCGGCATCCCACATGGGTGCCGGTTCGAGTGCTGGCTGCTCCACCTCTGATCCAGCTCCCTGCTAATGTGCCTGGGAAAGCAGTGGAACATGGTCCATGTGCTTGGACCCCTGGGAGACCTGGATGGAGTTCCAGGCTTTGGCCTGGCCCAGCCCTGCCTATTGTGGCCAACTGGGGGTTGAATCAAAAGATAGATAATTTTTCTCTGTTTCTCCCTCTCTAACTCTGCCTTCCAAATACACAAATATATCTTTAAAAAAAAAAAAAGTTAGCTAGGGCTTGGCTAATGCTGTCAGTGGAATCCTAATTTCCCATAAACTCTGATCTACAAAATCTCATGGGCCCAGGGACCTGCGGAAGACATTTCGATTGCACAAGGCTTTGTGGTGAAGGTCCTGGTTGGCCAATGGCTTGTCTCACGGGCCCCGGCAGAGCGGTTCCGGGGGTCTCAGGTCCCAGTGGCTCCTCACTGGTTGCAGAGACCCCCGCCACACAGCAGGGAGGGGACGGCTGCACCCGTCTCCCAACACAAAACTGGCTGACAGCTGAGCATTGTCTGGACTTTCTGATTGTGGCTTCAATTCAAATAAGGTCACTGCAGTAGAGGCTGTTAGCGCACAGCGTTAGGATCCCTCTCTCCGCCCCCTCTGACTGTGGCTTCTGTTTTAAAGCCACAGGTCTCACCAGGTTCCTGGCGCCCTCACACTTGGTTACTCTCCGGAGGATGGGCGCGAAGATCCCCTGGCGGCCATGAGCTCTCTCAGCTGCGCGGTGACCACCACTTACCTGGCGGTGCCGCGTCCCCGCGGGGCTGGGCCTGCAGGCGCTGCCTCTCTCAGGTAAGCGCAGCCCCCAAGGAGGGTGGGCAGAGGAGGGTGGGCACGCCCCGCTCAGGCAGACGCTCAGACAGACACAGGCTGCGTTCACTCACTTGGAGCTCCTGTGCTGTGTGCGGGGACTGCCACCTGGGGCCCTGCGACCCCGCGCCCCCGCCACCTCGGCCCTGGGCGGGGCAGGCTGAGCGCACGCAGGTGTTCCAGAAGCGCTTCCGCTCCTGCACGCAGGAGGGTTCTCTGGCCGCTCCGGGATGTCTGATGGAGAACCCACGTGGAAGCACCCTGGGCACCGCACGCGGGCCCTCGGGAGACCGAGCTCCGAGGACTTTCACTTGGGAACCAAAACCAGCCAGCAGCAGAGTCACACAGAGGGAAGACGCCCCCAGGCCGCCGCTAAAGCAGGACGCGGACGCACCTGCGTGCTTCCTGGTTGCGTGGGATGGACCCTCTCCAAGAAGGTGGGGTTCTCCACGCCGGCGCCAGCGGGGCTGCGCGGCCTAGGGCGTCGGGGAGCACACTGGAAATGGCCCCCGCCCCCAGCCCCGCGGCGCCCTAAGCCGGCCAGGCCTGGCCGGGAACCAGGCGCCGACACGGCGCGCCTGTGTCCCCGCACCGTGGGGCGCAGCAGCTGCAGACATCAGAACGCACAGTGCAAACCACCCGCCTCCCGCGTGTTCTCAGCGCATAGCCCGTGCGGAGAGCTTTAGTCCTCCGCGCCCGCACGGCCTGCGCGCCTCTCCCGCAGGCCCCACCCGTACCAGGGATAGCCACCCTTCCCTCCAGGTCCTCGCAGGGCGCGCGGCCGTGTGGACATTTACATCAGTGGGGGCCACACAATGGGGACCCACCGTGGTGGGCTAAGCCTCCGCCTGCAGTGCCGGCATCCCATACAGGGCGCCAGGGTTCGAGTCCTGGCTGCTCCACCTCTGATCCAGCTCTCTGCTATGGCCTGGGAAAGCAGTGGAAGACGGCCTAGCTCCTTGGGCCCCTGCACCTGCGTGGGAGACCCGGAAGAAGCTCCTGGCTCCTGGCTTCGGATCGGCCCAGCTTCGGCCGTTGCAGCCATCTGGGGAGTGAACCAGCGGATGGAGCCTTTCTCTCTCTCTCCCTCTCTCTGTAATTCTACCTCTCAAATAAATAAATAAAATTTTAAACAAATTTTTTTTCAGCCTGCTATAGATTGAATTCTGAGCCCAGACGAAATGATTTGGACCGCATGAGGTCGACAGATGCCAGGTGGGGACGTGGGGTTGACGGGGATGACAGATGTCCAACAGCCGTGAGGTGCACCGACTTCAGGGCGAATGCTGCCTGCTCTTCACCAGAGAGGTGGTCAAGGGCCGCCCCACCCGGCTGTGGCAAGTTCTACACCAGTCTCACTGGTGGCACAGGCCACCTCCACCAGCGAAAACCGACTCTGTATCACTCCCATCCTCCAGCAAAGCATTTCACATCCCTGTTTCTGAGCAAATGCCACCCAATAATCTTACGTGACATATAAAAAAATCACTCAAATACCACCAGATTCAACTTCAGCGCACCATTCCAAACTACTAAACTTTCTTCACACCTTTATTTTTATCTTTTTTTTTTTTGGTATACATTTAAAATATGGGATCCTCTAAATTTCTGAAAAGCCTCATGGGGGAAAAAAAAACAACTAATTTTTAGGGCAAAGCAAGAACTCAGTTTACAGGCAGGGTAACCTTGAGCCGGCTGTGAATTCCTCGCGGCCCCTCTGTGGCTTCTAAGGTCTCCTGGGATCACTCAGATCAGCATAGGACCTTGTTGCTCGGTGGAGGGGCTCTGGGAAGGTTACACCTTGAAGCATGACGCCACCAAGTTGTGCCTAAGGATTTTACTCTTCTGACAAAAGAACTGGGATATTGGGTAACGTCAGGGTTCAGGGCCCATACACATCTTTTATTCATTCTCTGTAAGAGGGAAATTAGAATAATACTGAATTCCCTCTTACTAATCTCCATATTTTAAGCTTAGAGCATTAAAAAAAATGTGTTCTTAGCAAGTAGATGTATCTACAGTGGAATCATAAATGGGTTTGTAATTCCACACGCAGTTGGCTGCACTGCTATGTAAGACGGTGGTTTGACTAAGCAACGTGGGAGCTGACAGGCAGTGCGGCTGCGTGCAGAAAAAGCGACCTCTTTGTGGTGATGTTGATTACCGCTACCTGTTCTCGTCTAACTCCTCCCTGTCTCCCATGAGTGACGTGAGCCAGAGTGGAAGGACGCGGAAGTGTGGGGCGTCCTGTGGCTGGGGAGGGCCGAGAGGCAGAGCCAGGCTAAGAAGGGGTCTGCCAACAGTGAATTTAGGAGAACCGGGTTGTTTAACAGTCACCAACCCGGGAAAAAGTGCCTGGCATTGAAAAGCTACCATGCACCAGGACCAGGGGGCCGTGGGCACAGGAACACCACCGAGACACGGTTCATGGCTCTGCACCATGCGATCCACATACAACAGAACACACTCCTGTTAACATCGCACAACATAAATATCACCCGCGGTGGGGTCAACTGAATGCGAAATAGCTGGGAGGCACACAGAAGAAACATGGACTGGACTGAACTCTGACATGGAGTTACTGGGAAAAGGCACAAGTCCTGCCTGCGGCCAAGTGAGCTCTGCAGGTGTCACCCCGAGTGGGCTGGTGGCCACTCCCACGCACACTGACTCGCATACCTTAATGTCCTTAGAGTGAACCGCTTCAGACAGACACGCCACAAGGGCCGACCGCTGCTCCCCACTCGACGTGGGGAAACCCCTACGGGTGCCTTCGACCACGGGGATTCCTGATGGCTGTAGCTCCCCTACTTCCGGCAAGTGACTCGGTCACGAGGGAACCACTTTCGGGAGCGTAGAACAGTATTCAAGAACACCCATCACAGTGCTTAACAAGATTTAATGTACATTTATTCTTAACATGTGGAACATATAAAGATTTTATACTGAATAAATGATATTCATTAAGCCAGAGGAAAAGGAGGAATTTACATCAAGTTTTTTTCTTTTTTTTTAAACTACATTATCTTGGAATACAAATGTGGATTCTCGTCACTGAAAAATCTTTGAAGTTGTGTTTCTTCCTTTTAGTTGTATTTTTTCTTTTTCTTTTTTTTTTTTTTTTCTGTACTGGTAACCATTTTCTAAATCAATCCATACGCGACCATTCCCACACCTTGATTCATGAAGCGAATTGCGATCAGCTGCTCTCCCGAAATAGAGCACGACTTTATACATACAGAAACTTGTACATTACCCTCTTTTTTTTGTGGTTTTTGTTTGTTTTTATTTTTTGTATTTTTTCTTTTTTTTGGAGATATGGCCCTAATGAAAAAATATATAAAATAAAAATAAAAAATTATTTAAATCTACCATCACTTCGTAGTTACCACATCATGAAAAAGAAACTAAAAACTTTGTACTAAAAAAAAAAAGAAGAAAAGAAAAAAAAATGAGGGTATGTTTAATGTACAACTTCTATATACATCACAGCCCAGAGGCAGTAAAAAAAAAATATTTAAAAAATGACTAAAGGAATTGTGAAGAACTGTCATATGGAAGGCCAGGCGACAGACAGCAGGCATGACGCGCGGCGAGGAGGGAGCAAGTCCTGTCGATGGCTGCCAGGGACGCATTCCCAGGCTGCACTGGGACACGCGTGGCTTTGCTCCTAGCCTCATGGAACCACCTTCCCGTGGAGAAGCCGGTGTCTCTCACAGCTGTGACGATCACTGACACCTCCGTGAGCCCCGGTACCTGAATCTCTAGAAGTTTCTATTGCACAGAGCTTTGGGCGATGGGATGCAGTTGCTTTTTTTTTTTTTTTTAATTTTCCATCCTTTGAAGAATAAAACGCATAGCAAATTGATAATTTTTCACCCTTTTTTGCCTCAGTGTGGTGAAATTTTTCCCATCTTAGCATCTTTTGCCAAAACTTTTGTCTTTAAAGTCAATTTGCTTCCCCCCAAAAATGCAATACAACATGGAAAAGAACATTAAAAAGAAAATCTGTGAAAAAACAAAAAGTGACCTTTGAATGCACTAGACAGCAACTTTGGTTAAAAAAAAGAAATAAAAAAACCCCAAAAGGATGTACTTATACACACAGACAGCAAATATTAATTTCATAACTGTTCGAATTAATTATTTCTTTAATTCCCAATTGGTAAATAGTGAATGGGGCAGAGGAGCAAAGATTCTCTTTTCCTTCTTCCTACGCTGGATAAACAAGAACAGAAAACAGCCAGTTATGCGACCCTCGAGTGTTCACTCACACATGCTTGCCTTCTCACTTATGTCATAACTGCCCGATCTGAAACAGTACATCACAGATGACAGACGCGACCAGAGAGTTCAGGACAGCCGATATCGAGATATCCAGCAACCGGCCCTCGTGCAAAAGGAACTCGGAGCGGTTTTCGTCCACTCTGGCCATGGCCAGCAAGGCCTTGGCCGCCCTGCACATCATGTCTACGCTAGGCGGCTCCAGGGGCGGGGGCTGCATGTGCAGGAGGCTGTGCTGGCTCTGCTGGTACTGGGCCATCGTGACCCCGTCCTCCAGGAAGCTTATCAAGCTCCCAATGCTTCCCTTCTGCACAGCTATGGCCCTCGCTGCCAGCGCGTCCCCTTGGGCAAGGTTCGACAAGAGCGCCATGGACATCTCTCGACAGACTGGGTTTTTGCGATCCCCCACGTACCTAACTAACGTAGCATAGAATTTCTCCTGACGACTAAACGGCGGCGTGGCCAAGATGAGGTCCACGTTATTGTCCTGGATGCTCAGTTTGCAGAGGGTCTCCAGCACGAGTCTCTGCGGCGACAGGACCGAGTTGGGTCCCACCGTCGGGAAGGGGTCTTGTGCCTCGGCGGACGGGCACACCATCCAGTGCAGCAAGCCATCCAGGATGGGCAGGCAGATGCTCTCCGTGTACGCAGACAAGTCCAGCTGCCCAGAAATGTTGGCCAACGTGACCAGCGTGTTGTCCCGCAGGACCTCGAGGCAGTCCCACCACCACTCGTCCTTGCTGCAGGCCACCCCCTTGTCCTCGTCCTCCTCCTTCTCGTAGGTCTGCGGCGCTCGCTTCCGCTCGGGGTGCTCGTGGTGGAGCAGGATCAGCTTCCCCAGGATCAGCACCAGGCCCGGATGTTTGGACATCTCGGCGTCGTTGCCAGGCACGAAGGACAGGCTCCGGACGATGTTGGACACACAGATGCAGCGCTTGGCCAGCGAGTCCTGCCAGTGTGCGATGGTGCACAGCGGCGTCTCGTCCCGGCTCCGGGGCTCGTCCTCCAGCAGCCTGATGTTCCGGTGGCTTTTCGCCTGCTGAATGCCGAAGGGGAACTTGGCGCTCTCCGTCTGGGGCCCGGGGTTGGTGTCTTCGGGGAGCGCCCCCGGCCGAGCGGACAGGACGTCATCGATGGTGGCGATGATGCTCTTCTCCGGCTGCTCGTCACAGTCACCTCTGCCTTCTGGCTCTTTCTTTCTCCCGGTGGAGCTCAGAGCGGGCGGCGGGCGCCTGCGGGGCGGAATCTCCATCTTGCTCTCGAAGTGAGTCTGGATGTGTTCGGTGGTGTCGCCGCCGCCCAGCTGCCAGTGCAGGAGCCCGCTGTTGAACTCCTGCACGCGCCCCAGCCGGTCGGACCGGTCCACCACAAACAGCTTGTTCTTCTTGACGACCTTGATGGGCAGCTTGTCGAACTTGCTGGCTTGCTTGGGCTTCTCCTTGGGGTCTGCGGTGGCGTCCGGGGCGCTCAGGCCCGGGCTGCCCTTGGCCTCCGGCTCAGTCTTCTCACCGTCCTCCTCGTCCTCCTCGTCCTCGTCTTCGTCCTCGTCCAGGCCGTCGGCCTCAGCCTCCTCTCGCCCAGAGTCGTCCGCCGCCGCCTGGCCGTCCTGTTTCCTCGCCGCGTGGTGATCAAGTGCTTTCTGGCTGGGGTCTCCCACTTCGTATTCCATGAGGATTCCAAAAATGTCAATCAGGCATTTTCTAAAGTACTCGACTAAGAGTTCGAGAAATCCCGACAACTGGAGGGGGTGGGGTGGGAGGAGAAAGAACAGGCACGTGAGTGCAACGCTGCGGGCGAGAAGCCCCGCGGACCCCGGCCACACCTGCCCTTTCTGCCTGGGCCACGAGAGGAAGCCCCCAGCAGGCGGCACCCACTTCCAGAACCCACAGCTCTCACTAGCGCCCCGCAGCGGCCTCCTTACTGTTGCCCCACCCGTGCGAACACCTGCTGGGTTTTCCAGTGCTACCAGGGAGGGGCGCTCGGCCGTCCGTCACCTTCTTTTCTGACTTAGAGGCAACGCACACATTATTAAAAGAGTGAGAATGTGGATTTCATAGACGCTTTCAGCCAAAGGGACTCTGTTCTCTTCTATTATTTATCCGAGACTTGCTTGCTGGGGTTTTTATGGTTATTATTCTTAGGATTTAATGGTTATTTTTATCTCAGGTGCCGTAGGTTACCCTAATTTACGTTCTCCATATCTCTTTTGGAGAAGATAATTTCAGCAATGTAGTAGCTCATAAACACTGAAAATTAAAAACAAATCAATTTAGTCCCTGATAAATGAATTAGAATGTTTCATAAAACGCGATTTTACATTTCCATTATGCACAACTCTAGCTGAAGACAAAAGCGGCAGGGCGCACCACTGCCTCCGGAGAGCCGGCACTGGCTCCCCGAGCGAGTGTCTGCGTGGGGAAGAGACCCACACGCTCCAGGTGAGCGCTCCAGCTCCCCCCGGCATGCAGGTGCTGGAAGGGTGTTTTAGTGACAGACGTTAGGCATGTCAACCCCACCTTTCTGTCCCACTGTCAGTTTCTTGAGAGTGGGACGGGAGCAGTCACTGGGAAGTAGGGAAACCCCAGCCACGTCCAAGGGCAGAGGTGGAGCCTGGACTTCCCTCACCCTTAAAGTGCACTCCCCCGCCCCCTCCAGGAAAAGGGGAAGCTACCAAAGCAGTTCTGTTTATGAAAATGTGGGAGGGGCCGGCACTGTGGCACAGCAGGTAAGGCCACCGCCTGCAGCACTGCCTTCCCATTTGGGTGCTGGCTGGAGTCGTGGCTGCTCCACTTCTACTCCAGCTCCCTGCTAAGGGCCTGGGAAGGCAGTGGAAGACGGCCCACGTATTTGGGCCCCATGCTCCTATGTGGGAGACCTGGAAGAAGCTTCTGGCTTCAGGCTGGCCCAGCCCTGGCTGTTGTGGGCTTTGGGGAATGAACCAGCGATGGAAGATCTCTCTGTCTCTCTCTCTCTGCCTTTAGAATAAATAAATAAATCTTATAAAGAAAAGAGAAAAAAAGAAAATGTGTGATCAATAGTAGTTCATCCAACAGAAGGATGAACATTGATTACTCCAGCAAAGGGCGCATACATATTTTTATATATTCATTTTCTGTTAACACAGGGCTGTACAATGTTTATGGTCTTATTAATATACTTCCTTTCAATGAAAAACTTGCCTTTCTGGGCCACAGTGGGGGACTTAAATGAGAGAAGAAAAATGAAGGAAAAGATTCTGTAGAATCAAGGAAATTAGGTGTTTTAGTTTTCTTCCACCAAAAGCAAGAAAAATAGCCATTCCTCATTTTTATTTCTAAATACCCACAAAAAAACTCCACAGCCCAGCTGACTGCTGGACATCTGTGCAAAGCCTCAGCTCTGTTTTTTCTTCCAGCTACTGTGCTGGAAGCTGCCTGAAACCTAGCTTTGAACAAAGGAGGGCTTGAAGCTCATTCAAGCTAACAGGTGTTTAAATGACAGCGTCCAAATCACCCGGGAGGCAGAGATGGGAGGAATGAGACCTGGAGACAGGCCTGGCCCCAGCTCTTCATCGTGCTGGTGGGACGCTGGGCACAGAGAGCTTCCCTGGGTTCCCTGGAACGTTCTGTGCACGCCTGGGCATTCTGTACATTTTCTCTAAGATTTGCAGACAGACGTCAGGTCCCCCAGGAACGCAGGGTGACGTTCCATGGTGAGCACTGCCTTTCCTACCTGCACCACAAGGCTAACTTCACTTAACATTGTGATGAACTCCAACTGGCCTGCTACTATGCATTCTAAACAACAATGTAATTTTATTACTGTCAGCTACTCCACACACACCCACAGTTATCCCAGGGGAGCAGGGGCGGACCTTCAACCTCCCCAGATAACTGCAGACTGATCAGTGCTGGCCCAGGGCAGCTGTCACGCCTGAGCACGAGTCGGTGCCCGTCCACTGGGGCACACACCCCGGCGTTCCACACGACTTACGGGTCCTGTGTTCTATGTGTTGGCGAAGCTCACCTGGGAGAGATTGAAAGTAGCAACGGTGCTGTCATCGTAGAGAAGGATGTTGATGGTGTCCAGAGCCCAGGTGCTTTCTGCCAGAAGACCCGACTTAAGGGACATCATCACACGCCACGCCTCGGGAGTAGCTGCAAACGGCAAAGGAGGAGCAAGTCAGACAGGAAGTAGCAGCGGGGCAGAGAGGGCTGAACACGGACTCCGTGCAATGCTCCGAGGGCCGCTGACCAACCGTGGTTGTGTTTAGGTTGTAAGACGAGGGGATGAGCTGAACAGTGCAGTGGGGCTGGTTAGGATCCTCTGGCTTTGCTGGTTAAACATGAGCCAAAGTGCTTCCGGGTCAGAAGTGGCTGAGCACAATCGCTGCTCTCTCATCGCCTGTTTCTTGCTTTCCGACCCCAGCGGGGACTGTAGGCATGCGTCGGCTGAACCATTAAGCCAGCCCTGCTCTTCGTGGCCTTCTCCACTCCTGGGGCCCTGGGGCAGTGTCTTTGGGAGACCGGCAAGTGTGCAGGGTATAAAAGCGACATTTAATTCCACACCAGCACACACTCAGGTTCAAGGCCGCTCTGGCCACGCTGCTGCTTCCCTTCCTGGGCTCCTCCCTCACACTTGCTGCTGACAAAGGCTAGCACTGAGCTTCAGGCTCCCAAGGTGTGGTCTGAGCCAAGAGCGTGGCAAAGAAGGGCTGCTGTCTGTTTTGCTTTCCTTGTTCTTGCTACTGAAGAAAACAAAATGATTTGGTAGAAAGTCTGCCGTAAATGGGGCCAGGACAACAGACCGGCAGGCATCACGGGACCATGGGCTGAGCCATGGGCGGACCTGTCCTGGCAGAGCTGGCCTGAGCTCTGGTCTCGTGGCCAGGGAGGGGTCCCAGGAGCCCCCAGTGCTCTGGTGGGGGCTGGGGCACCACGGCTTTTCCATTTTTATTTTAATGTTATGTATCTTGAACTTTTTCTAAATAGGCACATACTATTTCTTGTAATAAAAATGTCAAGCTTTCTAAGATAAGGAACATAAATTTCTAGGTTGGACAAATACTGGTCATCTAACCTATACAAATAAATTTTAAAAAATTAAAGATATTTATTTAAACATCCATACACACACATGGACAAACTGCAGGCACACACACACTTATTTGTTTATAACAAGGTGCTCAGTGTCTGTTGTATATCTTTCTTTCCCCATAACACTCTGAAACATAAAAAAAAAAAAAACACCTCCTTTTTTTTCAACATGCCCAATGTTGAAAACATCTTGATTATCATTAACTTAATATCTTCAATTTTCTAATCACTGTAAATGATTTAAGTGATTTTGAGTTTTAGAACCTGTTTTTCTCATACAACTGAGATCTGCTATTTTCCCTGGTGTGTTAAAAGCACTGCAGGAGGGCGCAGAAAACCTGCATCACCTGCAGCTGCTCCAGACCGCTCAGTCCCGCACAGGCCGAGCCGGCGGCAGCAGCGTTCGGTGAGTAGCCCTGGGGCCCCCTCCTGCCAGGGCTGTGTGGCCTCTGTCAGTTCTGCACATCCTGTGGATGATATCATCTACTCATCTACATAGCATACCCAGGCTTCTACTTTTTCTCGGGACAACTCGCTGTTTGTTCTTAGCAAATCCCACACTTTCTGGGTCACCTTGATATTTCCTTAGTCTCCCAGGGGCCCGTGAGCATGCACTGCAGAGATGAAGTGGCTTGGGTGAGGTCAAATCTTTAACCCCAAACACAGTATCACCATCAGCCAGGACTCCTATGTCCCTGGCTTGGACCAAAAATGCCACTGCAATCCCAGTTCTCCTCTGGCAGTGTCCCAGCTCAGGTTAGTGGCTTCCAGTGGTTGCTCCTGGTAACGTGCAGTCCTCAGAACCTCAGCCCTTTGGGCTCAACAGGACCTGCACCTGCACCCGAGTCCCAGCTCCTGACCCACCTGGGGTTCCGCCTGGCACTCTTACCGATATCTTTTGAGGTAATCTTGCGCCTTTGCTTCAGGACTGGCTGCGATGCCTCCACTGAGCCCGGGGGGAAGGTGATCTCCCTCCTGATGGGAGGTGGCTGGGGGGGCGGCCCGGCCACCTGGGACGTGGGGACGGTGGGCATGACCTTCTGCATCTTCATAGACGGCAGGAAGGGAGACTTGCTGGGAGACATGCGGCTCTCCAGGGAGCGCTGGAAGGAGGCCGGGCTGGGCGCCCTGGAGATGTGGTTTGGCAGTGACGGTGGCGTCTGGTAGGAGGACTGAGGCGGGCGCGCGATGGGCTGCATGGAGGCTGCAGACGCCATGTAAGGCTGACGTTGGCTGACGTGAGAAGGCCACTGGCTCTCGTGGTTGATCCTTTGATCGGGTACCATCATCTCATCCGTGCGGCCCATGGCCGGGTATGGGGGGGCCTGGGCGGGGCCGCCGGGGCCCTGCCTGTTCTGGTAGGGATAAGGCATATCGTTGCGTGCCGCCCACATGTTCTGCTGCGGCCCCTCGCCGGAGGCCGGCTGCATGGGGCCCCCCATCATCTGCGGGGGGATGCCGTGTGCCTGCAGCTGCCCGGGGCCCTGCATCCGCTCTCTGTTGTAGGGGTAGGGGTACTGGCCCTGGATGGGCCTCCTGTCCGGGCCCGAGTAGGAGCTCCCGTACTGGTTGTACATGTCCTGCTGCTGGGCGCCGTACTGCATGTTGTACATGTCGCTTTCGTGGCGCTTGGCTGGCGGCCCGTACATGCCGTCCATGTGGCGCTTGTAGTTCTGAAATGCAGAGCAAGAGAAACCACACTGGCACGCTGTTACGGGCGTCAGCCCCGCTCACCGAGAGTGAGTAGGGGCAGCCTGTGGAACACCATGTCGGGGGTGGACGGAGCACGACTCGGCTCAGCCAACGCCACCGCTGGTGCCCACAGTGCTGGAGAACTTGTCTTCCGGTGCTTGGAGCTTTCTGGGGAGAACAGTGCCCTGGCCTCTGGCTGCAATCCTGGGGCAGTGGCTACAGCCTGACACTACGCTGTGACGTCACTGGTGGCCCGAGGGGCCAGTCCCACTGGCATGTAGCTGGGGTGGGGTGGGGGGAGCTCGGAAGGCCTCAGGTGGACCTCCCGGGCCTCATTTCCCAGCCGGAGCTCCTGGGGCACAGGTTACAAGCTCCTGCAGCACAGGTCGGTCCACCCTACGGGTTCCCGCCCGGATGCCCCACAGGGCCAGGCTCTGAGGCTAGGCCAGCACAACACTAAACGCTCCTCTTGGGGACTCTCCTCGGACAATGCTGAAGGGAGGCGTGGGGCTGTCTCCCGATGGGAGGCAGCGAAATGCTGGGCTTTAATTAGGATTCCTTTCGCTTTACTTGCAAATTGTTTAAGATCAGCTGGTTTCAAAACTAAATGTTTAAAAACTACCTTGTGGTTAAAAGATGCTTTAAAAAATTCCTCTATGTTGCAAGAGGCCTCAGATCTGAAAAGCTGTTTAGAAATGGCCACAGCAGGAGGTGCGACTGTCTGTCTGAGACAGGCAGCAGTGACAGGCGGCCTCCGGCACAGCCACGCCTCTCTGAGCTGCACACACCTAGCTCATCAGGCAAAACACGCAGGAATTAACTCACAGCTGATTTTAGAAAACCCAGTTAGTATATAAGTTTCTTTTTGTATGTATTCTCTTTAAAACATCGACAAATCTCAATTCTAAAATGGCTTTGACACCATAGCATTCAGGTGTCCCCTGGGCCTGAGGGGGCATGGGTGCAGGACCCCCGTGGACAGCAGCCTCTGGGGATGCTCCAGTCCCTTACATAAAAGGGCACAGCACCTGCATGGAACCTGTGCCCAACTCCCCCATTGCTGGATGGCTCAGAAAACCGATTCCTAAATATCAGGCACATGGTTGTTTAGGGAATAATGAGAAGAAAAGCCTGAACAAGTTCAGTGTGAACACATTATTTTTTCTGAATATTTACGGTCGCCAGATGGGGAGGGCCGAGTGCCCCTGATTCTCATCGATGTGTTTCAAGCACACTTGACTCGAACTTGGCCTTGCCACTGTTTACAAGGTCAAGGGCACCTAACTTCTGATGACGCGCTGTATTTGGTTCAGGACACACACAGCTCGCCCACTCGGAAACCCAGGAGAGCCTTCCCGCAGGAACTACGTCCTGAATGTCAATCACCTTTGTTAGATTCCTAGAGACCTGGAGGAGTAGCCCGCCTCCAGGAGAGAGACGGCGAGCCCAGAAGTCCCCGCCCACGCCACTCACCGGCTGCTGTGGGTAGAGGCCGGGCTGGTGCCCTGCGTACGGCGGCTGGCCTGAGGGAGGACCTTGCCCTGGATACTGCTGTCCGTAGGGTTCATGCCTGGAACAGGGCAGTCAAAGACAGCGTTAGTCACTTCAGAGCGCATCAGGAACCGTCCGTGACGTGCGCCCCCCGCGACCGCGGCCCTGCTGGCAGCCGTGGGGCTGCGCTTTGGCGGTGAGAGGCCCCGGGGACAAGCGCTCTGGGAACAGAGCCAGACTCCCGGTTGGACTGTGGGTTAATAGGTGGGAGAGCAGACCGGTTGGACAGGCAGGCGCCCTGTAAGCACTTGTCGGAGCCTCTAGGCAGAGGCCCCGCCTCGCTGCTGGAGTTACCTGGGGAGCGTCTTGCCGCGCTGGGGTGGGAGGCCTTAGCAGAACAAGAATCAGCGCTCGGAATCTCAGCCTCAAAAGCAGCAGTCCTAGACATCCCAGACCCCGGCACTGCTGCTGCTTATCCCTCTCTCGGGGTGAAGGTAAGATGTCTAGGGTGGGGTCCGACATAAATTCAAATGATACTGAGCTCGTTACTGATTGTATAGGCACAACTATTCAAACCTGCAAAGTCCTGTGTCCTAAAGGCCGCAGGAAAGGTGAGGGGTGACTTAAATGTGCACCTACTAAGTCTTAAAAAGGAAATGAACAAAACATTTATTTTTCAATTAAATTGAGAAATCACAAACACCAGCAAAAACTGAATGTTTTATAAGGGCAACAGAGTTGGGATTTTGAAACGTTAGTAAAACTGGAACTTCTAAGAAGGAATAATTGCACTGAACATACCCCTATACTTATCAAGGAATGAGAATTAGAAAAAAATAAAGACTTCAAATATCACACAGAAGATGTACAGGAAGCTTCTGTACAGAAGGAAACTATGGGACCAGTGCTGTGTAAAGCCACTGGGGTAAAGCATCCCACACGGACTGCTGGTTTGAGTCCCGGCTGCTCCACTTCCAATCCAGCTCCCTGCTCATGCACCTGGGAAGGCAGCAGAGGATGGCGCAAGTGCTTGGGCCCCTGCACCCATGTGAGAGACCCAGATGGGGTTCCTGGCTCTTGGCTTCGGCCTGGCTTAGCCCTGCCTGGGTGTTGCAGCCACTGGGGAGTGAAACCAGCAGATGGAGGATATTTCTCTCTTTCTCTCTCTCTCTCCCTCTTCCCCTCTCCGTTACTTTGCCTTTCAAGTAAAAATAAATGAATATTTAAAAAAATATAAGGAAGCTTATAGATAGGAGGAAAGAAGTATAACTGACATAGATGAAATTTAAGCTGAATCACAGGTAACATTTTCCAGAAAAGAACTTAACAGTGAGGTCCATCTCTAATGAGGGAGAGCCAGAATGACTTTGAAACCTAGGCCGCACAATGTTCCAGAAAGCAGTGAGAAGAGACAGGAAGTATATCTACTTGAGTTACGTCAGGAATACGTGTCGCGAGGCCAGTGTTGTGGCGTGGCAGGCGTCCCATAGGGGTACTGCTTCCTGTCCCGGCTGTTCCACTTCATCCAGCTCCCTGCTGCCGGCCTCGGAAAAGTGGTGGAAGGTGGCCCAAGTGCTTAGACCCCGGCACCCACGTGGCAGACTTGGACAGAGTTCCTGGCTCCTGACTTGGGCCTGGCTCAGCACTGGCCACTGCAGCCATCTGGTGAGTGAACCAGTGGATGGAAGATCTCTCTCTCTCTCTCTTCCTCTCTCTGCACTTTCTTTGTAACTCTGACTTGTAAGTAAAATAAAATAACTTAAAAAAAAAAGAATATATGTTCCAGTGACACCGTTCTAATTTCATTAGCAAAACAAAACAAAACAAACAAAAAGCAAACCAAAACAAAAAGACATATTCAGTGGCCTTTCCTGGACCCTCAACAACAAAGCAAACCTAACTAAACCTCCAATCCTGTAAACAACGCTCTGTCATGTAATGGCAGACTGATGAGTGCAGGCATGTGTAAATAAATATGCATCGTGCACATAAATATTTGCCACATTATGGCCAGGGTAAGAATTAGAAGAAGTTCTGAAGTCACAATGACAAGGTACCCTGCCATTTGGAGCCTGGGATGGCTATGCATGCGGAGGAACCAGGCTCAGAGAAAATGCCAGAGAGCGCGTGTAGCAGGTAAAAGCGAGCTCTCAACCTCTGCCAATGTTGTGTTAAACCAACTGAGCGCCGCCTCCAATCCCAGCCCGTGGGATGAGTGGCGAGCGGCTGTGAGCCCCCTCGGGCTCCGAGGGCCAGTGCAGCCTGCTGCACGCGGTGGAGGCCACGCTTGGAAAAGGGGCCTCCTGTGTACAGAGCCCCCACCGTTTTCTTTCAAGACCACACCTCCCGTCCCAGCCGGGCCTCTAAGCACGGCTCTGCGCAGAGAGGCAGGTGCACAGCCAGCGCCCTCCTGCCCCAGGAGAGTGCCCTGGGACGGCCAGGGGGTGAGCCCGGGCGCAGGGAGGGGTCTTCTTCATGGACAGGAGCCCACTCTGAGCTGCTGTTGCAGGAAGCAGCTTCCGATGGCCTCTGAGACACTGCGCGGCTTCCCTCACACCCCACTGGCGTGGGCTGGGACCAGTCCTGCAGCCCGCCTTGCCCATTTTACACCCAGATGGCCTCCTCAAGAGGGGCCCCACTGGGCCTTCTCAGGCACGGTCCCTGCAGGCAAAGCAGTCTCTGTGCTTACGAGGTTCACAGGTGAGAGTGGGCCAGCGTGCAACAGCAATACTGGAAGAACTTTCCTGATGGCGGGAAGCCCAGAGTGGCTATGGCCGCACAGGCACTTCCCTGACAAAGACGTGCAGGGGGCAGGAAGGGAGAGAGCCCAGGGGTCTGGTGGCCCCAGAGCGGCCTTCAGAGAGGCGGGGGGGGAGGGGGCAGGTGGCACCCCCTGGGACGGCCCCCGTACCTAACGTGTGCTTCTGAGCGCTTGCTTATAAGCACAGAGCCACCTGGGCACCTGGCAACGTTGTCCTCCTGGGCCTGCACGCTCGTCCACTGGAGGCAGCTCCCAGCACTCCCTAGGCGAGCAGCGGCAACTCCGCCACAGGGCCCGCAGTGTGCACAGGGGAGCCCGGTGTCCCGTAAATCCTCGCTCTTCCCCTCCCTAAACCACTCACCTTCGATCGTAGGTGGCTCCGTAGGGAAACTGCTGCCGCTGCCCCATGCCCAGGTTGGCCATGGCTCCAGAGGGGCTCTGGTTATACAGGTCCTGCATGCTGCTGTTGGGCATCTGTCCTTGCGTCATGAACGGCTCGCCGCTCCCAGGCACTGCAGGGAGCGAAACAAGAGCGCTCGGTGACGCGCGTGCAAAGTTGCCCGGCCCATCTAGTGACTTCTCTTGTCCTGTGTGTGATCCTTAAAACAGCAGATCAAATGTGTGCCAGAGTGCACGGGCCTGGAGTGATGAGGGCCACGGAGGCAAATCCCAGGATGGCCCCCAAGGACCCCTCCTGCCCCTCGCATGCCGTGGTACAGTCCCGTGCGCTTTGTGACACGGCAGGAGGGATTTGCAGCTGCAGCTACAGTTCCCAGTCAGCTGGCTTTGTGCTAACCCCAAGGGGGCTTCTCCAGGGTACCCTGTACATCCGGGTCTGGCGGTCAGTGGCTTCTCCTGGTCCTGAAGAATCATGTATCAGGGGCGGCGGCAGAGGGCAGTCACCGGGAGGACTCCTGCTGCCAGGAACCGAATTCCACCACCGACCCGAACGCCCTTGGAGGGTTTCAGCCTGTGAGGCCCTGGGGGCGGCCCCAGGCGCACGGTGCTGGGCTCCGAGCCAGCCCCTCCCTGCAGGATCACGCACCTGTGCTGTCAGGCTTGTAACCTGTGTGGTAACTCGGGACACAGAAAGCGAATGCGGCCCCAACACACTGCTGTCCCAGTACATTACTAATGGCCAAGTTCAATTCCTTGTCTGTAAGCCAGCATAGTAAGAGCAACTCACGAAGCGGCTGCGAAACAGCCCGAAACACGGATGCCGGGTCAGCTCCCCTCCCCCACAGGAAGAAGAGGAAAGACTTCAGCTTAGACACCCGCCACGCACTCCAACATCAGGGTACGGAAAGCTGCCGGGAGTTGAGAATAGCTGAAGACGGGATGAGACGCAACTATTTCTAACAGAGGGTGGTGTGCCAATTAGGTCACGCATGCAAATGAGCATCAGCTCAGAGCCTGAAGGAAATTGGGCCAAGTCCAGAAACCAGCCTGCAGGCGAATTCAACACTTTAATATCAGTTTTCAATGGTGCTGTTGCCTCTTCATCCCACGGTTACTTTCATGTTATGTGAGGCAAAAGCTGATCAGCACTTTGTGAGCTGGCGCGTGGCACGAGGCTCGGGAGGGCTGTGGACGTGGAGGCCGGCGTGGCGGGCGGCTTCCCCCAGGCCACGTTCTTTCACCTGTTCTGTCCGTGTGCTGCCACGTCAGCCTGGGGGAGACTCGGCTGTGCAGTTACTTTCCAGTGTGCAGGTGTGAAAACAGACAAATCAAGTCGCATACCCTAAGTAGTTTAAATTCCCTAATAACACAGCGTTCTTAAAAATCAACAGAAAAGGGCTGACGCTGTGCTGTAGTGGGCTAAGCCTCAGCCTGTGGTGTAGGCATCCCATACGGGTGCCAGTTTGAGGCCTGCCTGCTCTACTTCTGATCCAGCTCTCTGCTGATGGCCTGGGAGACCTGGAAGAGGCTCCTGGCTTCAGACTGGCCCAGCTCTGGCCATTGTAGCCATCTGGGGAGTGAATCAGCAGATGGAAGATCTCTTTTTCTTTCTGGATCTCCCTTCCCCTGTCTGTAACTCTGCCTCTCAAACAAACAAACAAACAAAAATAAATAAACAGAAAAAAAGACAACTCAATAAGTGGGCAAACATATAAGTAGACATTCCAGGAAAAAAAATAAACAGCCAATCAACACAGTAAAATGTGTGTTAACTCGCTGTTAATTACAGAAATCCAAATGAAAAGAATTATGAGAGTTTTGGGGGTCTAATCTGATTGACAAATATTAAAATGACCACTGTGGGGGAGAGCCCACCCTCTCCTGGACATGCTGGTGTGGACTTTACCCTGGCACGACTTTGGCCAACTCTGCCCATGGGAGCCTGTACTTTGGCAACCCCACGAAGCATGAGTCCTCCCAAGATTCACAGTCGTGAGAGTCCTCGCCCACGACGACGCTGGGCTTGTCACGTGACTAGCACTGACCCAAGGGGGCTGTGGCAAGAGGGACACAAGCAAAAGCTGTGAGTGCTTGCCGCTGGGCCTGTCCCCTCCCTGTGCTGCTTCTTGGACCCACCCACTACAGCATGGGCAACAAGAGGCTCACGGGGAGGTCCAGGGAGGAGGCCCCCGCCGGTGACTCCAGCAGGGCTCCCGGCTGACGCAAGTCACTCGAGAGAGATCCCAGCTCCAGCAGAGCCCCCAGCCTGGCCAGCAGACAGTGACAGCCACCTCGGGGCCCTGGCTGTCAACACAGCGAGTCACGAGCCACCCCGCCCACCACGGAACTGGGAGATCAAGCACTGGTGTTTAAAGCCACCGAGTCTGGGCTGGTTTGCTGCTCCATAAAAGATCACTGAGATACTGAGTAAGTCAAGAGTGCTCAGCCTTTGGCTTCCAGAAAACCATTCTATAGCAGCTCTTCCGAGCAGCACTTCAACAACACCACAGCCCCGTATATCACGACCAGGTGTCATAGAGCAACTCGTCTGTTGCTAGAGCATTAGGGGTATATCTACTCAACTAAACAGCGTGCAGGATTCAGATGTTCAGAATACACCGATTTAACTCAACAGCGTGTAAGGACTGCATCCACTCCTTTGCAGTCAACCAACCTCAACCAGCGAGGTGAGGAAGTAGGGAGCAGGCAGGGCGAGGCTACCCCGGCTTCCTGTGACATCCTTTGCACCTGCCACACCTCAGGCCAACAGCGGCATGCTTCCCGTTGTCAACAGTCATTAAACATCAAATAAAACAGAGTGCCACCACGTTCATCCACAGGCTAAGGTACACCGAAGAGTGGAAAGCTTCATTTCCAACAGGGATAGAGTAGGGCTGTAAGAGAACCTGTTTCCTGTGGATTTTTTGTTTATTTGCTTTAATTTGGTAGCAAATATTCCAATATTGTAGGACAGCAGGTGAGCTGACATACACCAGGGACTGTACTGGGTGCTGAGGGCAATGGTGCACACCCACCAGGCATCCTGCAGGCTGGCCCAGGACCGCACCGCACCCTGCACCTGTTTATTTTTGTTGTTGGAAACGTTACAGGCAGACGACAGCAACAACAGGTACGCGACTCTAGCTGACACAGCGTGTAGGTGGGGTATCAGAGTGGTCCACAATACATCTTGGGGGCAGGTTTCCAAGTGTTACTAATTATCTTCCCACGTTATTGTCATATTTCCCGAGTCTAAAAATGGCAGTACAGCCACCAGATGGCCTAACAACATGTTCTATGTAGCATCTCACACCACGAAAGAAAACGCCGACCTCATCTAGTTATAAAGCTTTTTGAACTTAGGGATTTGCTGCGTGTTCTGCATGACTGGGATAAGCAGCCTTGAAACTTCTGAAAGGAAAAATTAGAGACACTCCTACTTCATGTAATAGTCACCTGAAACGTAACACATGAAATACACATGAAATAGTATCAGTCTCAACTGTTAAATGGTACAGGCCCGATACTTATGTTATTGAGATTCTTTATTTTTATTTTTCATTGGCCCTAAATGCTTATAAAAATGAAGGCTCTGGGCTTTCCACTTCTTGGCATTCAGAAAATATATCAAGAAATTCCTGTATCCCAACACCTAAATACGGCACAGGTGCTGTTGTGTAAGGGGACGCAGGGTGGATGCTTGCATAAAAGTATTCACCATTTTTTCTGTATTTTTCTATAATAGTCACATCACAGTTCAATTTCACAGGACCCAGCTGCATCTGGAAGAATGTTGAAAAGCAAAACACCAAGTGTCTGCTTGGAGCTTGGAAGAGTTAAAAGAAAATGGCATAGCAGGTAGGGCTGCTGCTTGCCAGGCCGGCATCCCATGTGGGTGCCAGTTCGGGTCCCAGCTGCTCCACTTCCGATCCAGCTCTCCGCTATGGCCTGGGAAAGCAGCAGAAGATGGCCAAGTCCTTGGGCCCCTGCACCTGTGTGGGAGACCTGAAAGAAACTCCTGGCTCCTGGCTTCGGATCTGCTCAGTTCTGGCCGTTGCGGCCATTTGGGGAGTGAGCCAGTGGATGGAAGACCTCTCTTTCTGTCTCTCTCTCTGCCTCTCCCTCTTTATAGCTCTGACTTTCAAGTAAATAAATTAAAAAAAAAAAAAAAAAAGACAATGGCTTGGACAGCCACCGCCTGGGTATGGACTTGGCCTTGAGGGTCAGGGAAGTCTCCGCTACTTCCTCAGTGGTGGCAGCTGGCTCACAGCTGTAGGCTCCATCCCTATGCTTAGTGTTCTAAAATCATGGCCAACTGGGTCTCTGCTCAGCTCTAGAGCTGCCTGCCACTACCCACCACCCCGCGTGTCTCAGGCTCTCGCGCCCTCCTCATGGTCCACGGCGCAGGTGCTAACCTTCGCCCATCAGCCCCACATTCAGCCATCAGTCCCTCGGATGGCGTCTCTCCCCGCTGCTGGTTTCCAGCCTGAATCCACCGTGTCTCCCCTAGACCAGCAGAGGGGCTCTTTGTGCACCCTCCAGAGCCGAACGGTGGCTTCTCCAGGCATTGGTAGTTTACGAAACAGCTACGCACACACCACCAGCACGCCCACCAAGGTGACAGCCTGGGGCGCCTGGTGGCCCCTGCCACCTCCCCACACAGGCACTCAGCACTCTTGCCCTGGGAGCAGCCCTCCCTTCCTCCCCCTGCCCAGCCCAGAGGGCACTGCCCTCCGCACCCCTTCTTCCCTTTCTCCCAACAACCATGATGTTTAATTACAGAGTTGCGGTTTAACTTAGTTTTTGTTTGCTTCCTCCTTAGAGTCTGTTAATTCCACAAAGCAAGGACTGTGTGGGATCTGCCTATATGCTATGAGGTTCCTTGCACTGCTCATGCTCACGCTAATGTGACAATGCCAGTGCAAGCAACACTGGCGGGGTGGCCCCCGCTCCACGGGCTCTGCATGCACCCCCGTCGTTAACCCGCACAGCACCCTCGGGGGCAGGCCTTACTGCTTGCCCATTTTACAGATGAGGAAAGTAAGGCACGGAGGTCCTAAAATCCTCCCCAAGGGCCAGGTCCTGAAAGGTGGCTGAGCCAGCAGCGGCTTGCCTGTGGGTACAGCGAGGCGAACGCCCTCCGCACATACCTTTTCTCATTCCACCAAAGGGGTCCTTGTTGGGCTCATAGGGCATCCTGCCCATCATGTCTGGCATGCTCACGCCCTGCTGGTACGGCGCGTTCGGCGTCACGGAGTTCCGTTTGGGGAAGGACGAATCACCCACATCTGAGAACGGGTCGTGCACGCTGATTGTACTGCTTCTGAAGAGATGTGAGAATGGCGGTTAATGACACGGCACAGTGTCCACACAGTAAAACAGTCTCGAGATCTACAAACGAGAAACCATCCACACTACAGCATCGTCCATAGACTCTAGGGAGAAGGCATCTCCTCCTTCTAGGACGTTGGTGCCAGAAAATGAAAAGACTAACCAATCCTGATTTTGCGTGGCCCACGGGGTTGTGAGGACGTACCTTCCACCTTGCATCGGGGTCATCTGTCCGTGAGGGGTGGAGGCTGGGGTCGGGGGCTTCAGGTCACCTGGAACCTCCGCCATGGAATTGCTGCCGGTTGACTGGGGGGTCTGCGGGCCTTGCAAGGATCCTGAGTTAGCTGATGGTGGTTGCACCGAGGGAAAATGGGGAAAACACTGGAGGTTACCAAGTAAGCTCCTGTTTGCTAGCGATGGTACAGAGAACCTGAACTGAGACGCCACTCTACTGGAAAGAGTAACAGCACCCAGTGTGTGTGAAGTCAGTGTCCTCACACTGGTTCTGGTGAGAACCGCTCAGACCCCTGGCAGCAAACCATTCGGTAATGCGCTCCATCTGTGAGCCTCAAAACCATTTCAGCCTCAGGCTGGGTAACTGTTTTCCTGTGTATTCATCCCAAGACAATAATCTAACAGAAGGAAGGCTTTGGGCATAAGAATGTTGATTTCAGTGCTGTCTATAATGGAGATAATCTAAAAGTAAATATAGAAAATTGGGATAAAAAATGTCGGTGCTATTTTAGGAAAAAATTAGAAGACAGAGTTCTGGGTCTTGGATAATGAGAAATGTTTAAGCTGAAAAACAATGACGCAGATGGATCACAACGTGCCTCAGGTCATTCTGTCAGCGTCTCAGGATCCAGACGTGTCTACACTTGGTCATTCACAACAGTCGTCTCCTGAGCTACAACATCAGGTTGTTGGAAAAGCCTAAGACATCCCAGGGTACATGGAGAAGCTTGTGGTAAACCAGCATTAAAAATAGGCTTGTTTTGGTACAAAGAATTTTTGAAATCCACACATAGCTTTCTCAAACTATGCATTTCCCACTTTCAAAGACCTATATACTGATTAAAGTCCTCCAATGTCGCCGGAGTTCAGAGATTTGGTTTTCACTACAATTACATCATAATAGAAGAGCTCAGAATTGAGAACGCTTTCTTAGCAAGTAGAAGTCCGGAAAAAATTAATTAACCGCACCTTGTAGGAAAAAGCACTTTACGAGCGCCTGTTTTATGATCTAGCCTAGCTGTTAGCGCGTTAGCTGTTCAGCAGATACCGGCTTCGTTTATTCATTAAACAAACGGCAGGTGCAGGGCTGCCCGTCTGCCACACCGGGTCACACGTTAGTCCTGGTGCTTCCTTGCCTGGGAGTCCCCAAGACTCGCCACAGCTCCCCTGGCTCCCCTCGTACTGTGGGGCAAACGCAGCACAGTCCGTCACCAGAGGTTTCGGAGCAACCCGCGAGGGAGTCGGGAACCAAAGCGAGGACAACACTTCCACCGGGGAAGCCTTGGTCAAACCGATCATCTCTGGCCACGTTAGGGCTGCCTGGTCCCTGGCAGGGCCTGATGGTGCATGGGGCCCTGGGTCGTGCACAGTGACCCAGAGAAACTCGCAGAGATGCAGAACTTAGATCTCTTTAAGGAAAAACTGATTCACTCACGCTTACACAGCAAATTGTGGCGCAATCCTGGAAATGCATGTTAAAAAGGCAGATTTACTAAAAGAATAAAGTGGTGCCTTACAAACACGCCAGGAGCAACCTGCAGACACAACTGTTCTGTGTGCTGGAGGAGGCTCGGCGTGGCCCTGGCGGAGAGCTCCCTCCAGGCCGTGATTCCACAATGACCCTTACTTACAAGTACTCACATTTGCAGCTAATAAAAAAAAATTTGAGAAATTCTTCTCTCTTGCCAGTGTTTTTTTTCCTTTCCTTTCAGGGAAAAAAAAATGAATGCAACCCCTTGCAAGTCCATTCACTGAGGAGGCTGGCGCGTTCTCTAGGAGCTCCCTGCCTCTTGCCAGAAGCTACACATGTATGCTCTAAAGTCAACAATGGGAAGGTTACTGAAGGTTAAGTACATTCACACACTTCAGACTGCACACCAGGCTCCTAGCCGAGAAGATAACTGACGCACGAACCCGGTGCCCTGGTTCTGGTGGGAGGGGTTTCCGCAGGAGGGCACCCAGAGGTCAACCAGAGGGCACCTTTGTTTACACCCCAACCCTCTCTCATTTATCTTCCGCTGAGGATTCCCCCGCTGGATCCACGACAGGTTCTGTGACATCACCTGTCAGCTAATATTAGAAAGCCAGTCCGCCACCTGCCAGCGAGATGGATGAGAGTTCGGTTACAGACTTACTAATTGCTTCCTGGAGCCTCCCAGCCAATGTCTTCTTCCCTCCAGCCACGAGAGGACTGGCCCTGGGGAGGCCGCCTTCCAAACCCCTCTCCAAAGGGCCAGGGGTGATTACCAGGAAGCCCCACAGGCACCACGGGGATGCACACCACAGCCCAAGGCCTTCTTTCTGGACTGTGGCTCTGGTGGACAGGACCTGTCCCCCCATCCACTGGACAGTGGCTGAAAAATGCAGCCCCCAAAGCAAGGGCATTCTGCCTCCCAGGGCTGGACCCAAAGTCTAGATCCATGGGGCCACCCACAGCGGGAGACTGGGCGCGCTCTCTGAAGACGGCCTAAGTGCTGGAGGAGTCAGTGGCTTGGGTGACCACTGGGAACACAGTCTGGAATGCATCTTGAGAATGCCAGCTTTGTGCCTGGAGGGGCTGGCAGGGAACAAACTGTCATTTTGTCCTTCTGTGAGAAAGTGACTTCAGAAAACACACATTTTGCTAAAAATTCATTTTTAAGAATTCAGCCCCAGAACTACGCTCACACACTCATGTGAGCTAGGGGTTTCACTTTAGCTTCTGAGAGCTAACACTAGAAGCAGCCCCCACCCTGGAGATGTGGGTAATGACCCCACTATGCCCTGCCACACCAGGACTATAACAATCTGTCCTAAATGCCTCGGGTCCACTGGAATCTACCCCGTGCACAGGGAAGGCCTGCCTGCATCCACCTCTCTGGACCCACACCCTGCAGAGTGAAGTCTCTGGTACACCTTGTCGTCAGCCTCTGAGGGTGACGCTAGTCCTGGGACTGGGGCTGCTGTCCTGTTGGACTCTCCTGGCGGGACCCGAGGAAGGGTATCTGCATCACACAGTCCTGGAGACACAGCAGCTGGTGCCACCAGCCCCAGCAGCACTCGGGCTCGCTGACAGGACAAGGGGCAGCCACCCTGTCCCTCAGCACAAAGAACAAGGCTCTGGACATCATGTGTGCCAGGAAGACTGACCCCGTACTCTCTGTGGACCAAAGACGCACATCTAAGGAAACCCTGTTCACCTCAATGCCACACTTGCATCGCTATGAACTGCAGATTATACAACTGCGTCACTTACAGACACAGCTGATGTCGGCTAAGACAAAAGAAACTGGGCTGGTGTTGAAGCATGGTGGGTAAAGCTGACACCTACAATGCTGGGATCCCATACGGGCCCCAGTTCAAGTCCTGGCTGCTCCGCTTCCAATCCAGCTCCCTGCTAATGTGCCTGGGAGAGCAGTGGAGGATGCCCTAAGTCCTTGGGCCCCTGCGCCCATGTGGGAGACCATGGAAGAAGCTCCGGCTTTGGACTGGCCCAACTCTGGCTGCTGTGGCCATCTGGGGAGCGAATCAACAGATGGAAGATCTCTCTCTCTCTCTCTGTCTCCTTTTCTCTCTAACTCTGCCTTTCCAATAAATAAATAAATAAATAAATCTTTTAAAAAATATTGAAATCACTCAGAGACTATACTCCTGGCTCACCTAGAACCAAAGCCAAAGCAACAAGCCAAATGATACCCTGCATTCCAGCAAAACCATAAACTTTTCTCCAATGAAGCTACTCCACGAAGGAGGGCAGTGTATATCAGATGCAGGGGGACACAGGAGACATGAAGAAGGTAGCTTGGCACCTCCCAAAGAACACAATACTCCTCTAGCATTAGATCCTGGACTGAAGGAAATCCATGGAATGATAGATAGAGAATTCAACATAACGACTGAAAGGAAACTCAAAAGGGATGCAAGCGAACACAGACAGGCGGGTTAAAGCAAAGAGCACAGCAGTGAGCGGCATGAGGAGGACGTTACTGGGGACACAGAACTCACTGACAAAACCAAACAGAAATCTTGGAGATGAAATCTTCAATCAGCGAAATAAGAAATACAACTGAGAGCTGTAACAGCAGCATAGACCACGTGGAAGGGATTTTCTGACCTCGAGGACAGCAATTTTCAAAGAACCCAACTGGGCAAAAATAAAGAGAAAATAATTTAGAAGAATGAAGAAAGTTTATGTGAAACATGGGATACCATTAATGACCAAATACTCATATTGTAAGTGTCCCTGAAGGAGAAGAGAAGGAGAAAGGAGTCGAGAACCTGCTAAGTGAAATAACAGTTGAAAACCTCCCAGGTCCTAAAAGACACACGGGCATCCGGGTATGAGAAACTCCCAGAACCCTGAGCAGACTCAACCGCAAAACGTCTCCTCTAAGGCACATCGTCATCACATTGTCTACCAAAAGTCAGACAAGGAGAGAATCCGAAACTCAGTAAGAGAAGAGGGTCAAGCTACATATAAAGGAAAGGCAGTTAGATTAACATCAGACTTCTCAGTGGAAACCCTACCGGCCAGAGAGAGTGGATGACATATTCAAGGTCTTAAAAGAAAAAAACTTGAAACCAAGAGTATATGCAGTGAAGCTATCCTTTAAAAGTGAAGGAGAAACAAAGTGTTTTCCAGATAAGCAAAAGCTGAACACACCACCACCAGACTAGCCTTACAAGAAATTCTGAAGGGTGTCCTGCATGAGAAGTTAACATGAGGGCCAGTGCTGTGGCGTAGCGGGTAAAGCCACTGCCTGCAGTGCCGGCATCCCACATGGGCACCAGCACTCCGTTCCACTTCCAATCCAGCTCTCTGCTGTGGTCCAGGAGTGCAGTGGAGGATGGCCCAAGTCCTTGGGCCCTGCACCCGCATGGGAGACCAGAAGAAGCTCCTGGCTCCTGGCTTCAGATCGGCGCAGCTCTGGCCATTGCAGCCAACTGGGGAGTGAACCAGCGGACGGAAGACCTCTCTCTCCCTCTGCATCTCCTTTTCTCTCTGTTAATTTGCCTTTCAAATAAATAAATAAAATCTTAAAAAACAAAATCTAATGATGTATCTTGAAGATATAAAAACAGAAACAAAGCAAACCCGAAATAAGCAGGAGGCAAGAAATAATAAGGATCA